AAAGTGGAAGTAGCGAAAGTGGAAGAGGCCAAAGCAGAAAAGGCAAAGTGGAAGTGGTGAAAAAACAGAATTACATTTTACAAAACAGAATTACGTTTGAAAAAACATAATTACGTTTGAAAAAACATAATTACATTTGAAAAAACAGAATTCCATTTGAAAAAACAGAATTACGTTTGAAAAAACAACATAAACACACCATTTGAAAAAACAGAATTACATTAAGCCAAAGTGGAAATGGCCAAAGCAGAAGTAGCCAAAGCAGAAGTGGTAAAAAAAAAATGGAATTACATTTGAACAAAACAAATGGAATTACATTTGAACAAAACAAATGGAATTACATTTGAAAAACAAAATTAGTTAATTAAATCAATTAGCTACACAGTGGCTTTGCTCCTTCTGAGTGCAGGATGAGTTTAGTTTATCAGTACGTCTTGAAAAGCAGCTGGCAATATGAATTGTTTTAAAGCTGCAATGCCTTTATTATAGTATTCAGTAGTGATCCTCATAATAAAGTGTTTCAGAGGTATAGAAGTTGGATGTAACACCTTATTTTTTAACATTTTGTTTAACTACCTTTTTTATAACCTTTTTTAATTCTCTTGCAGCATTTTCCCACAGCTTGTTTAGTTTCTATCTGAAACCATCTTCTCAAGTGTGGTTTGGAAGTTGTGAAACATTCATGTTGGATGTTTTTCTGAAAACGCTCGCTCATTCCTCCCGAGTCCCCAAAAACTGTGGATGTGCGGCGATCAAAGATGTTTCCATCTGAACGAATCCTTCTTGTGCCTCCACAGTTGTGTCCGTTATGTTTATGTCTGCGTTGGATATTGTAAACACCGTGGCAAACCTTTGGGGTTTTTTTTCCCCACACATGACAAGAAAGCAATTTCAAAAAATTATTATGCAATATATTTCTTTGAAGCAAAGTGCGCTCCTTCTGGCGCAGAGAAGAGAGAAAAGGTTGACATTAATCACCGTTATTACATCAAGCTGTGGTCTGAAAAGCGTCAGATTGTCTCATTAGATATAGCTGTCCTTTTTGTATTTCATAACAGGTTCAGAGCTATATTTAGATCCTGCTGAGGCGGCTGCTGTTGAAGGCGGCAGTAACACGTGAAGTGAGATGAATACCTCTGCAGCGTGGTTAAAGGTGTTCACGGCTGCTTGACCGATCTTCAGGTTTAATTCGTTTTTAAAAAGGCACTTTGCATTTTGCCAATTAGAAGTCAGGCTTCATTTGGCTTTTTAGTCATTCGGGGTAGATTTTAAAGACTTTCAATTTAATCCTGTTTATTATTTATTGCAGCACAGTTCTGGCGTAACTAGGCGGAAAAAAAAGGATCTTTATTTATTTATTTATTTTTGGCACAGAATTTCTTTGGATTCAATATTTAGCCTGAAGAGGAGACAGTGGCCATATTTTACATTTAGTTGGATATTGATTTGGTGTTCTCAGTGTTAAATTATCGTGAAACTCAGCTGGTTGTATATATTATCAGTGCTGGTGGGTTAAAGCAGCCATGTGTTAGGAAAAATAACTTATTTGGAGACACATTCATATTTAAAATATTATCTGCCATCTTGGCTATGTGCCTTCGACTATGTTCGGGCTGCTGTTTAATATAGGATGTTATTTTACATTATTAGTCTTTAGTGTATAGCCTATATCCTCGTATACGGCTTCTTTTTATGCTTTATATTTTTACTATTTTTGGGTGTAACTGGGACATTGAGTACACAATTTTGTTCCACCTCATGTACCATATATGATACGAATGACAACAAAGAACCTTGAACCTTGTGTTGAACAACTGCTCCATACAAACAAACTTTCAATAGTGAAAAAAAAAAAAAAACATTTTTAGTTTGAGTTTAACTTTATTGAACATATTATAATACAATAATTAACAAAGTTATATATAAAAAAATACATTTAAAAGAAAATCAAGCAAAAATAAAAAACAGTAGTAAAGTACATTTACACGTTCAACGGAGTGGGTAGAAGTATAAACTTATTGTTAGACCCACCCCTCTTCCATCTATAGCAACATCCAATAATTTACTATTCATGGTAGCTTGGTTATAACATTCTTTTTTAGTTAGTATGTTATATATCCATATTTATAACTGGTACAATGCATTCATGCCATTATGATCAAGTTTAGTTTAGCATAACTAACTGACTTGCAGAATGTTAAAGTGTTAATTAAGAAAACTGGCAAAACAGTTTTAGGTAGACTTAAAATCAGATTCAAGACTACAGTTTAGTACTCTCACACAGACAAGAATAATTTTTTTTGGAGAAATAAAGATAAATATTTTTAGATTAAAAACTCTCAAAGTTGTAAATAATGCAAATTAAACACATTATATTTTTTGCAGAGAAATATCCGTTGTTAAGAAGATGCACGTCTTTCAAATATCTTTTCAGATTTAAATTTACTAGATTCAAATAGGTTCATTTGCTCATTCTTAAATTACTTCTGCTTTTATTTTGGAGCTGAACAGGCTGTGTCAGTGTCTGCAGCTTTAACTACAGCTTGAATGATGCTGGCTACACCTCTTTCATGATGAGGACTCCTTCTGCCTGCTTTCTGTTCAGTGAGCAGCACAAAGGAGCCCCAGGGCAAGACCAAATGGAAATAAATAAAAGAAAAAAGATGAAAAAAGTATTGTCACCTCTTGCTCTAGAGAGTTCTTTACACAAAAGTACAGCTATAATCAGAGCACATTTGTTTTGAACTCGTGTTTTCACAGTCAGCGAGGTTATCTCCCCTGTCGTTCCTTTTATCCTTTTTTAGGATTTATTTCTACTGTTAGGTCGATGCTGCTTTCAAGCGACTCATAGTTTATCTCCTCGTGTGTGATCTTTAATTCCTTTTGTACCATTTTATAATTTGTTTTCAAGTTATTGCTGCTGCTTTTATCTTTAAACTTTGAATTCTTATTGTCTAACTTTACCACAAGATGTCTATGGGGTGTTTCAAACACCGTCTCATTGCACATTGACATTTAATGCACATACATACAATGATATGATGCGATACATACAATGGATTGTGTCATATCAAGTCTGAAAGTCAATATTGGGTGTCAGAGATCTTCAGACCCTCAGGCAGCACTGCATTAAGAATAATTCTGATTCTGTTATGGATCAATTCATTTATGTGCAAACAGTTCACTGTGCCATCAACAATTGCTGGTTGAAATGTAAAAAAGAAACATATGTAAACACCATTCAGAAATGCCAAAGTCTTTTCTGAGCTAATGATCATTTAAAATTGACTGAGGCAAAGAGGAAAGCTCTTTTGTGGTCAGATGAATCAAAATTAAGTATTTTTAGAAAGCATGAATGTCACATCCTCCCTACTAAAAATGAGAGAGATCCAGCCTGTTATCAACTCAGTTCAAAAGTCTGCCTCTCTGATGCTATTGGGGTGCATTATTGCATATGACATGGGCAGCTTATAGCTCTGCAAAGGCACCATCAATGAAGATAATTATACAAAGGTTTTAGAACAATATATACATCCAGACGGCATCTTTTTCAGGGAAGGCATTGCATATTCCAGCAAGATGATGCTAAACAGCACAACTTAACTGGGCTGAAAACATTTGGCGCTTCATATAATAATAAAAAAAATCTAGCAAAAAGACCTAGGACAGTTGAACAACTAGAATCCTACATCAGAAAAGAATGGGACAACATTTTCCTCCAAAATCTCCAGCAAATGGCCTCCTCAGTTCCCAAGTTTACGTACTGTTAGAAGAAAAAAGGTGCTTCACTGTGGTTAATGTAACCATGCCTCCATGACAACAAAGTCCATGCTCAATAATCCAGGTATACAATCCAACATTTCAGGTCATCTGGACAGTTTCTTTTTTTTTTTTGTGCTGAAACGTTTCGCCTTCCACGTTAAGATGGTCTCTTTGCCAAAGAGACCATCTGAGCACCAATATAACTGGTTTGTTCCACTTTGGAGTAAGCTGTTTGGGGAAGAATCAGTTTTGTTGTGTGTTTCCTTGACTGATGAAGCCTTCTGGATCGAAGGCGAAACGTTTCAGCACAAAAAAAAAGAAACTGTCCAGATGACCTGACTGAAAAATGTTGGCGTACATCCATGGTTTTTGAGATGTGCTGCCATAAAAAAATAAAAAATATATAGTTTTTCAAGAATGTTAAATGATTAGTTTAAACATGGAATATGGAGAGTGGTGGCACAGAGTTTAGAGAAGGTGGGCCCATGATCGGAAGATCGCCGGTTCAAGCCCCGGTACCTACAACATCCAAAATGCGGGTGGAGTAGGTGAAGCACCCACACCTGCCCCCACCCTCACTCGCCCCACTCTGGGCCCATGAGCAAGGCTCTTAACCCCCTAAACAGGTCTCTCTTGAAAATGAGTTTTCGTGGCTCAATGAGACTACCTGTATAAATAAAGGGTAAATGAAAAAAAAAAAAATATATATATATATATATTTGTTAATTATGTTTCTACTGTGAAGACAATGTGTTTATGGAATTTTCCAATCACTGCATGTTGTTTGTATTTACAGCTTACACAGTCACTCCAATATATTCTGGAAATAGCGTTGTGGTTTTAATGGGCTGTTATTCATCCGCTGGCAACAAAAACAGAAAAATATGCAAAGCTGACTAAACAATATTACTGGTTGCGTCTAATTCAATGGTTGCTTTTGTGACTAAATCAGGGAATGTGTTGTGTTTTGCATCTAGCAGAGATGTTTTACACTTAGGAGAAGTGGCTTTAGAGGGGATGGAGAGAGAAGCAGCTGCTCATTTGAAAATTAAGATGGTAATTTTGGCAGCTGGGGGGCGGCGCTTGTATGAATTTATTGTTGGAGTTGACACTAAATCTGAAATGTAATCTCTTATCTGTAGATAAACAATGTTATTTTTCAATCAACAAACAATTTAGGGCAAGAAAGGCTGTCAGTTAAATATTCAAATGTGATTTTTCTTTTGCTTGTTTTTCAGCTTCATGTACGGGGAGCTCACAGACAAGGACACGACAGAAAAAGTCCGACTAACATTTGAAAATTACGAGATGAACTCATTCGAAATACTGATGTACAAAAAGAACAGTAAGTAGCAGTGATGAACGTGAAATAAATAAATAAATGAATAAGTAAAGAGAATCTCCACTCTTTTGTAATGCAAATGCATCTGAGCCTCTGAGTTCAAAGGCAGCCCAGGACATTTCTGCATCTGTAGAAATGTGCTAATTGGTTTTAGAGCCAGACTGGAAAGACCTTCCTTGGTTTCCACTCGCAGGTGGAACCCTCATGCGCGCGCACCTGCGCTGAAAATTTCAGAAATGAAAAAAATAAATCCAAAACGTTTTAGTTCACATTATGCAATCGTGATTTCTGATACGTGCACTCAGAGGAATTTGCTCTAAAAGAACGCAGATGCTGCAGCTAAACTTGCTCTCTTTTAGGAACACCTGTTTGGTTCTTTGTGAAGATTGCTCCCATTCGAAACGAGCAGGAGAAGGTGGTTCTGTTCCTTTGCACGTTCAGCGACATCACGGCCTTTAAGCAGCCCATTGAAGACGATTCTTCTAAAGGTTTGAGTCAACAATTTATGTTTGTTCAACTTCATGCCTCCATGAGACAGTTTGTCAGCTTCAGAAAGATCTAAGCTGAGTAAACGAATTTACATCCGTATTTTGGCACCAAATCATTCAGAAAAATGAAGTTGAAGGTTATTTTTTTCACTATTTGTAACAGATGTGTTTATGATCTACAATATGTCATCCAGGGGCACAGGTAAAATTGGTGCCCATCGCCATTCAACCCTACGCATTGTGCATCTGCTCTGGCAGGTACCCAGTCAGATAAATATGAGCTCCATCATAATGGTTATTAGCACACAGCATACGTGTATTCACTGGGGGTGGAAAAGTGTTAAAGCCAGCCAAAATAGAATACAAATTAGTTTAAGAGACTACAACAGAAACAAAACAAGGTTTTTGATTGCAAATAAATTTGAAGCAATTGAATACCTTGATAAAGGGCCTGGCAACTGACCAGCTTTCTTTTCTTTTCTTTTAATAGCAAAATTAAAAAAAAAAAAAAAAAAAGGCTGATCAAACTAAAAGCTGTGAATACAGATAAGATCTGCTAAATGAAATGGTGTTAGTCCATAACAAACTTTAAAAGGAAGGACTAAAGATTCAAAATCAGTCACTAAAGTGAAGCAGAAGCCAGTGAAGAGTAGTTCAGACAGGAAGTTGTGTATTCATGCTTTTCTCAAGTATTTACAAACTGAACCAGAGTTCTGAACAAGTAAAGATATGATTGCATCTTGCACACTGGAAGTGACTATTATTTAGCGTTGGCTAGATGTTTCTTTCTCTACAGACTTTGAAAATGTGCTTTTTTATTGGTTTCATTCAACCTTTATTTATACAAGTTAGTCTCATTGAGCCTCGCAGACTCGTTTACAAGAGAAACCTATTTTTAACAAAGAATGATGACATCAGTAGATAATCATTAAAAAAAACATACAACTTGAGGGAAAAAAAAGAAAATGATAGTGAAAAACGAAACAAAAACAGCTACGTTGTAAAGTGGTGTAAAATACTAACAGGAACATGTCTTCATAGTTTTATTTTTTTGCCATGAACTTAGCAGCTGTTTGAAGACAATCTTTTTGTAAGATATTCCAGGAAACAGGAGCGGAGTAGGAGAAGGCCCTTTTGCCTAGTTCAGTCCTCACTGAGGGGACACTGCAGGTAATAATGTCCTGAGAGCGCACGCTGTAGCTGCACTCACGCAGAGACATGTAGGAGGAGATGTATGAAGGCAGCAGACCAAGAAGTAATTTAAAGATGAAAATGTACCAGTGAGAGAGTCTGCATGAAGTTAATGATGACCAGTTAACCAGTGAATACAGGGTGCAACGGTGGGTGCGGTAGTTACAGCCAGTTATGAATCTTAGCGCACTGTGGTAGACAGTGTCCAACATCTGCAGGGTGCTTGTAGGAGCATTCATGTAAATAATGTCACCATAGTCAATGGAAAGTCAGTTACAAGGCGTTTCCTAACATTCAGAGTTAGACAGGATCTGTTTTAGTAAATGAATGACATAAACCAGGTTTTGGATTCAGTAAATGCACCAGAACGCAGGAATGGTTTAAAAGATTTTTTAAAGCAGGAACTCTGGTGGAGGTCTGGGTCTGTGGGCCGCTCGGATCTGCAGAGACAGTAGAGTTAGTGACTTGGCTTTGACTGTGAATGTTTTTTTGAGAATAAAGGCAGTCACTAACCAAATTCAGAGTACAAGGCAAGCGATGGAGTTGAGGTGAAGAAGAGCAGAGTTGTTACCGTGGTCAGAGAGAGAGATTCAAATCAGGCGGGGGATAAGCAAGGCGAGGAGTCAAAGAGGCAGGCAAGAGGTCAGAACCGGGAAGTCAAACAAGGTTGTGGCATGAACGCTGGACATCTACTACTTGATAATGTTCGATAATCTAGCACTGGTTGGTTGTGGACGTGGAGCTTATAAAGGCAGGTGAACAGGTGAAGCTGAACTGATTGGCATGGCAAGGCTTGGAGGGAGCAGGCTTGAGCTGAAGGATGGGTGACAGATAAAAAGGGCATGGAAACAAAAAAAAATATGTCAGGAAGGGGCACAAAAGTGACAAAGAAACCCAGTTTAACTTTCAGTTTCTTCACCAAGTTGTCCACGTGGAGCTTAAAAGAGAAATACGAATCGACCAAGATACCCACATATTTATCAGAATCAGCAAACTCAATAGGAGCAACATTCGAGGATAAAATCGAAGGAAGGACTGCTGGGACTGACTTTCTGTTTTAAAACAACACCCCTTTGGTTTTGTTGGTATCTAGTGCAAGTTTGAGTTGGAACAAATCTGACTGGATGATGTCAAAGTGGATTGCAAAAGCTGGAAAGCCTTAGCAACTGTTTTAGCTCAACAACAAACAACTGTGTTATCAGCGTAGAAATGTAAGGATGCATCAGGGATGCTCTGACTTACGTTACCTATGTAGATTGTGAAAAGGGTGGGTCCTAAGACAGAGCCTTGTGGTACACCATTGTAAACCGTTAAGTAACTGGAAGAAGTACCGTTATGTTGAGCACATTGTCTCCGATCTGAGTGATAGTTAGAGAACCAACCAATGGTATGATCTGAGAAACCAATTTCTGAGAGCTTATGACATAAGATGTTATGATCCACAGTGTCAAAAGCTTTAGACAGGTCTAAGTAAAGTGCATCACAATAATACTTAGCATCCAGTGCTTCAACGTCATTAAAAACCTTCAGTGAAGCAGTCGTGCTGTGTTGTTTTCTGAAGCCAGATTGATGGAAAGGTAAGATGTTAAATCCAGAACCTTTTTGACTGGAGTGTTTATCAGTTTTTCTAGAACCTTAGCTAGAATACAGAGGTTTGTCTCAACTATTTGTTCTGCATTTATGGTCAGTAAGGTGTTCATAACAAACCCTCAAAGATTCTTAAATACCCCAAATATCTTTTTCAGCCATTGGTTTTCCTGAAATGGAAATGCTTAAGGCCCCAGAAAACTTGTTAAAGATGCAAACTGTTTGTATTTAACTCCAGGCTGGGGGAAGTTCGCCCGACTGACCCGAGCTTTAACAAGCAGCAGGGGAGTTTTACAGCAGCTGCAGCCCACAGTCCATAAAGGAGAGAACGTCCACAAGCACTCCCGTCTTGCTGAGGTATGTTTAATTTTGTTTCAGTCTGATCTTAGTAAAATGCTTAAAGCTGATATTGAAGTGAAAAGAAGCTGTAGAAAACTGATATTTCTTCATTAGGTTTCCTGTTGTGAATGTTATTCCTGCAGGTCCTGCAGCTCGGCTCAGACATTCTACCTCAGTACAAGCAAGAGACCCCCAAAACTCCTCCTCACATCATCTTGCACTATTGCCTCTTCAAGACCACGTGGGACTGGGTCATCCTCATCCTCACCTTCTACACCGCCATAATGGTGCCCTACAACGTCTCCTTCAAGACGAAGCAGAACAACGTGACCTGGCTGGTGGTGGACAGCATTGTGGACGTCATCTTCTTGGTGGATATTGTTTTAAACTTTCACACCACATTCGTTGGCCCGGCTGGGGAGGTCATCTCTGACCCCAAACTGATCCGAATGAACTACCTGAAGACCTGGTTTGTTATCGACCTGCTCTCCTGCCTGCCATATGATGTCATCAACGCCTTTGAGAACGTAGATGAGGTGAGTTTATTGTTTCTGAAATGCTGCCAAACTTTTTTTTAATTAAAAACATTTATTGGTTTAATTTCCTCAAACATGGGAACTTGCTGTTTTGCTTCAGGTGATAGAAAATCTAATTATAACTCAGGAAATGTTTGATACATTTTATTTTTTGTAGTTCCTTTCTGACATGCAAACCTTTTAAATTATTTAATAAATGAATGTGTTAGCTAAACATTGAATCAGACACATTATACGTTTAGAAAAATAGACAGCTTTTAATGGACAAAGAGTAGTATATTTGCATTAAAATGCTTTGAAATGGTATTTTAGATCGAGTTAGTGTTAAAGGCACAAACACCGTAGCTGCTCTTTTTTTGTTTTGTTTTTTCTTCCAGAGTCACTAGTGTTTTGCACCATGAAGTGAGATTAGTGGGTTTGTGAGGTAACTTCATGGGACTTTTAGGCATAAAGCTGCTTCCCTTCTTGTCTGGCTCTGTTAATGCAGCAAGCTACGCTGGAGCAGTTTAGGTTTCTGGTAGAGTACGTGTCAGTGTACCTCTCAACCAATGAGTGTCCTTAAAAACATTTAAATGAATAAATAATACATTAATAATTAACATCCACCATTGTGTGATGGGAGTCTCTGTGCACAGAGCTAATCATATTCACTAAACTCCCTGTCTGTGCTGGAAAACTGAGTAAAATCATGAGGTAACTATTGCATTTAATGTACAATTATACAAATATATACATGAGTTCATATACATTATAATGAAACTAAACTCCACTCACTAGACAGGCCTGGTTTTATCTTTATTACAGATTTATTGTGAAAATGTTTTAAAATATAAAGACATAACAAGGTCACACATTTTGTGTATCAACAAAAGACAGTAAGTGCAGTTCATTACTTGTATTTTTTTTTAATTAATGCTAATGGTCAGGCAGCAGTAATACTTCTTGTTAGCCTATTAATTTTATGTGATCACAGGCATTTTAATTTTATTTTCATGTTTTACTGGTTTCCTTCCAGCATTATTATTAGTTGTTTTACAGATCCCTAGTCAGAAATCCTGTATCTAGAGTAGATAACCAGCTTTGTAGTACAAAGTACTACTACCACATTGTTAGGGTTAGTTGAGGCGGAGCTCTTATAGTATAGGACAAGGGTGGATTTATTTAAGTCTGGCTCAGTAACCACAACACGTTGATTTTTTTAATATTCTCAGGCATTGTTAAAAACAATTATTTTATTATTATTATTATTTTATTATTAAATTATTTTTATAAAGATTTTGGCACTTCTCCTTTTGTCACTGAAAAAAGTCTCTAATGGTTTTTTAAATTCATTTATGCTTTATTTATATCCAGGTAGTCTCATTGAGTCACGAGAACTCATTTTCAAGAGAGACCTGTTTTTGGGAGCAGGTGATGGGGGTTAAGGGCCTTGCTCAGGGGCCCAGAGTGGGGCTAATAAGGGAGGAGGCAGGTGTGGGTGCTTCACCTATCCCACCCACATTTTGATGTTGACGGTACCGGGAGTTGAACCTGCGACTTTATGATCACACGCCCATCTCCTCTAACCTCTGCACTACCAATTGATAGTTATCGTCTGAACAGAATTAAAAAGTCATATGTGAGTCTTTGTCCGCGCTTGAAAAATACTTAAAAATCTGCTGCAACATAGTTTAGGGGTCTTTGCAGAATGTTATTGTGCAAGTGGAGATATCTGGTTTTGTTACTTGCAAACAAACTGAGTCATGCAGAATACAGTAAATCAATCAGAATCTTGATTTCTCAGTTTTTCTTTTTGTAACAAGTAAAACTGGTTGCTGAGTTAAACCTGGAGTACAATAGTCCATGGCTTATTGCGGGAGATCCGTACCCTGAAGCCCAGCGATAAGTGAAAAACCACGAAGTAGGAATAGTAGTACAAGTAATAATATTCTAAACAATGTTTCTAAACTTTAAGCGCTCTAAAAGAGCACAGAATGTCATGGTTTCAGCTCCCTGCCTCATCTGCCCTTTGCCACCTGCAAGCGCCACGCCCACTTTTCCGCTCTGCACGCTGAACAGCTGATCAGCTGATCAGCTGATCAGCTGCAGCAGGAAGTTTATCCTGCAGTATGGGCTCCACAAATGTGCGGCAGGTGCTAAATAATTTTAAATAATTTATTTTAAATAAAAATGTTATGCCGATCGTGCGGCTCATCCATCAATCAGCCATGTGTGTCATGTCCGATCTTATTTTGAAAAACCACAACAGAGTGAGTCTGCAATAAATGAACCGCGAAGTAGCGGGGGACTACTGTACTCCAAACAAAAAGCACAAACTGAAATTGTTCAGATGACATAAATTAATGATGTGAAAGTAGAAGCTGATTTTCCAAACTACGTTTATATTATTTTAAAACCCAAACAGCGATTGACAGATTATTATTTTATAGTGTTTAAGCTACGTTTAAAACCACTGTTTATCAGAAAGAGTTTTTTTTTCTTTCCTGTGACTGAGAAAACAAGTCAGACTGAGCGTGATAATATGCTCGTTTGTGGATCTCTAAATGTTTTGCCACAGTGATGAGTGTTTGCTGGAGAGCCATCACAGGATCTTGAGATAATTGGCACATTTTAATTGGCAAAGTGGCGTTGCTTTGTTAAACTGGGGCACACTCCTGTGCTCTGCGACACTGATGCCCAAAAACCATTAACGCCTTCTGACAGCTGACAAGGACTGAATCAGGGGAAATCGTGATTTTAATGGTTTGAGGCGATCAGTTTTAGGTGGATGCCTTATTATTTTTTTATAAATTACTTCATGTGACAAACAGAACTTTAATGACAATAGATCTTTATTGATTGAGTTGTTTATTTCTTGAAAGCAAGTATAAAAAATATGATTCACTAGTGACTAAAACAATAAATGACCACACCTGAATGTTGGAATATGTTTAGTTAATGGTGCCTGCTTTAAATGTCTCTATACATGCCTGCAATGGTCCAGATGGAGACTTCCGCTTCTCCTTCAACAGACTTATTGAATTGCACTTGGAGATGTTGCGTTTGCCATTCCTTATTGTGCATCGCTGTGTGTGTGTTTGTGTCTCTGAGGGTGCCCAAGTGCGTCACGGTCATGGTGCATGTGTGTTATTGTGCCAGTGTGGTGATGTGAAATGCTGTGAAAGCATTTAACCGTGCAGTGTGTCAGAGTGAGCGCCACACTGGGGACTATTAGGTGGCTCAGACAGAATGAGGTAATGTGAAAATCAGTACGAAAGTTTAAAAAGAGAGAGAGAGAGAGAGAGAGGCTTGAGTGTGGGCAGAGAGCACCGAACAATTTGTGCAAGTCCAGCTTTTTTGTTTCTCTGGAGTCATTCAGAGCTGCTGCATCCTAAATGCTGACAGGTTCAAGCACAAAGTCTTAGAGGTCAGCAGAAAAGAAAAAAAAATCATTTTGTGGTTTTCAAAGATGCTGTTGCTGGTATTTGATCCACTTTGTATCATCCAGTGACAATTGTAGCCTCTTTCTGGGGGTGCTCAAGCACTCCTAAATTTTAACGTAGCACCCCTGAAAAATTAAGAAACCATCATTACAATTTTGTTAGGAAATTCAGTTCTCAAACCTTAGATTCACCAAAATATTGAATAAATATGGAATAAATTATGACACTTAAATGATCCAGTAAAATCTGATTTTTTTTTTTTTTTTTGCACGAGTCAAATGCTCGACACCACCTGTCATTCAATCCAGCGGAGCACTATGTCTGTAGCATCTTAGCTAACTTGTTTGTATTGTGCGCCAGTTGTCGAGGGTGGAGTGGGGGTGGGAGGGTGTTAAGCTGCGTGATTGAAGCGGAGCGTGCTCTATTCACACAAGGAGAGCTGTTGGTCAAGCTGCTTCTTGTTGTGCCAAAAATAATTACTGAATCAAGTGTTTACTTATGTAGGTAAACGTAGATGTTTAACAACCTGTTAAAATACACCTGAATGCAGGAAATGGCATCTACTTTATTCAAAATTTTCTGGGAAAGGACCCCCATGACCCCCCCCCCCCACCACCACCACCACCACCACACACACACATGCATTTCAAATGCTTCTGACACCAATGGCCACTGTGCTATTCAAGCCAAGAGCCATTATCAGCACTGGGGGCGAAGCACCGCTAGAGGTAAGATTGTAGACTCGGCCCTGGTATCATCAAGAATAGAGAACTTTGTCCCTGTTACAAAATCTGGTAAATAAAATCTGAAAAGTGTGAGAAATACTCACTTTGATCAAATAATTGCCATAAATTTGACAAAAAATATATTTTAAAGATTTCCATCTCAATTTTTAAATATATTCAATAGGGTTTTTCGTCCCTTTTTAAAATGATCTGATCATAATCTGAAAGATTTTGCCATTTGTATTGTCAGCTCGTAAACAAATTTCTAGAACATTCTTTTTTTTGCATTGTGTTGTTTTGCAGTTAAAAAAAATCACATTCATTAATTTATTTTCTGCTTCCTTGAGGTTCAGTATAAACATTGCACCTCACATGCTGCTGTAAATATACTAAATGTTAGATCCTAAAAAAGGTTACAGTGAATTCAAAATTCATCAAAAATGGCAATTAAAGATGATTTTAGCTCATCAAGAAGTCTGAAAGATGACTAGGATGATAATTTAGCAGCTGGATTTCAAAGTAGAGTACACTGTAAACAATGGAATCATAAATATTACAGAACAGAGAGAATAAATCAATAAAAAATAGATTTCTGAACTAAGTGTGCATTGTTCTTTAATGAACACATTAACCATTCTCTGCATGTGAATTTTAAAATCATTAACTTGTTAAGCCTCTGCATGCGTAGACTTCCTGATTAATACTCCTAACACCATGGACGTTTTAGTTTTTGGTTTGTTTTTTACGAGATCAGGAATGTGTTTTCTCCAAATGTTCATCCAGGGTTTTGTTTCCACCGAGCGTTTGCAATAACTCAGTGCCTCCCGTTTGTTTCAGACTGGTTTGAGGCGATTCATGGCGTGGATAAATGAGAGCGAGGAAACGATTGTCTGTTTTATTATGCCTGCACTGAAACATCTTGCTGCTGCGGCTGCTGCGGACCTTAATGACTGACATGAATAACTCTGATGGCTGTTCCCCCCCACCCCAACAGATCTACAAATAAAAGCTAATATTAACAGAGAGCCGCTGTCAAAGTTATTCTAGGTGTTAAAGTGTTGAGTGCATGTTTTGATCACATTTTTCACACTTGAGTTTACAGATGAATGATTTTTTTTTTTTTTTTGCTTGTTTTCTGTTCATTCATTTTTGGTTATTGAGTTTTTCACGAGTTTATTTGTTATTGACTCTTACATATGCCTTGCTTTTGTTTCTTCTTTTTTGTCCCCCCCTTTTTTTTTTTTTTTTCTGTTTGCATGGCCTCACCCCTCCCCTTCCTCTTCTGCCTGTGTTCATGCATGGGACGTGATGAGAAGAATTGGAACCACCAAGCGGTCACTCAAGTAGGCTTCACTTTGATTAGAATATGATAATGAAAAAATATGCTTTTCTTTCCCGTGCAGCTCATGTTCACACTTGACAACACAAATATCTGTGCATCTGTGTTTAGCAATGGCAGAAGTCGCACATTTGACATATTCTATGAAGTTTTACTTTTGCAGGAGAGCTAGTGTTAAAAAAAACGAGAGCAGAAGCTTCTTGCTTTCAAACGTCTGAGAAAATTAGAAGAGTCATGAATCATTTGTTTTAATCTGAAAATGAAACTAGCATTCTTTGAAGGAATACGTATTACCCACTGCCTTGCCTCTCCAAGCCAACATAACTATATTATGCAGTGCAATCTATTGGTGTACTGTATGCTTTAGGAGTGTCTTTAAGCTACTAAAATAGCAAAATGTACCTGCATATCTTTTAAATTATTAAACTGAATTATAGCCATTTTTTTGCAGGCTAGAGTGATTAGCTGTGGTGGCTATCTTGAATCAAGTTGACTCCAAACGTTAATCAGATGTAGATGTACATTTAATAAATTAAACATTAAAATCCATGTAGTAAAATTTGGACTTGAAACACACCAGGAGACTTTCTCATGAATGCTGTTCAGTAACTAGTCATAGCTCAGTGAGATTCAATTCAAAAATACTTTATTAATCTTTACTAATCCTTACTTTATTAATGTTTTATTAATTTGAAAGACAAATAAACACAAACTGGCAAACACATAATGGTCGGCTGTGTCAGTAAGTTGTATGTATGTGCATGTGTACATACATGCTTGCTTATGTCTATATATATG